TGTGTGTGTGTGTGTGTGTGTGTGTGTGTGTGTGTGTGTGTGTGTGTGTGTGTGTGTGTTGTTTTCTGAAAACGGTAAGGTGCTAAAGAAGAGGGTCTTGAATTGATTTAGTTATTATATTACTGTGAAGGTATGTTATGATGGAACTGACCCCATCTTAGAACTATATTTACTCATTATGGAATAGTATAAAGAGATATATTAGTCAGGGGATGTTCTGAGAAGTAGAACTTGAATGGTCTTCCAGAAAATCTCAGTAAAAGTCTTGTGTAATTTGAGAGTTAAAGTTGTAGGTGTGCACCTGTATATAACATAGATACACTAGAGTTGAGGCTAAGATATGAGATACTCTTTTCCCATCAACTAGCTGCAGCATTAACTTGTATTGTAACAAGATTAAAATATATTTGTCCTGCGGATTAGCATTCTTTACTGTCCCTTTCGTTTCTTTGCCGGACCGGTCTGCGTATGTGCAGCAGTCTTTTTGATCTGCCGTGCGTAGTGAGGACCCTGGCTTGGGTCTGGCCATCCGAGGGCCTGGTGTGAAATCGGCCTGATGTCAGCCCTTTTGTCCCCCATTTGCATCCCTCACTCCTTTAATGACGTTTCCGAACCTCGCAGGCACATTCCTCAGTGGTCCATAGGAAGCGTTTGGAGAACTCAGGGCAGAAAAGCACAGTGGGTGTGTTTGGAGAGTTTGGGGGGGTCGAGGGTGTGTGGATCTTTTGTATGGAAAGCAGACGAGTAGACATCCGTATTCTGATACTTTCCCTCCACCTCAGGCTTTTCTGTTGTTTGTCTGAATTGATAGCAGGCAAAGTTGAAGTTTGACAGAAATTGTATAATTTGATAATGTATAAATGAACGATGCCTTTAATGAAAGCACACTGTCGTGGCCAGACGTGTATCTTGATGTGTATCTTAGCAGTGTAAATACAACCGGTTATGACTGCAGTTTTCAGTCATTGACAATAGTGTACTTCCTTACCCTAGAAGAGTGTTTTTATGTGCACATAATTGACACTTAAAAACTACCTTCTGATACATATATGAATTTGAGATGATAGTTCAAGTGTAAATATATAAATAAAATGTATGTGTGTGTGATAGAGAAAGTTAAATGTGGGTGTAAAGTGAAGAAAGCGAGAGCTGAATGGGGTGTGGGCAGGACTGGGGACTATTCCTTGCAGAGGAAATGAGCCACCTGCAGCCATGACAGGAGGTTTTGACCTTCATTTGGGGTTTCTCTCTCTCTGTCTCTAAATCTCTTTCTTTCTCCCTCTCTCTCGCTCTCTCTCTCTCTCTCTCTCTCTCACACACACGCACACTCTCACACACTCTCTGTCTGTCTCTCGTTACTTTGCTCACACACACACACATACTTCTGCTCTATAGAAAGCCAGTCAGGGACCTCTCCCCTCAACCACTGGGCATCACTTCCTCATACAAGGGGCGCTAGAAAAGAAATGTAGATGAGGCATTGTCATTGAGCAGGTCAGTGCATGGGAAATGCCAGTTGTCTGTGCCCCCCTTCACCTCCCCCCAGAGGACAGGGAGACTATGACCAGATGATTTTTTTTTAACTAAAGATCATTTACATATTTTAGGGAAAGTCAAGTTACTGTTTGAGTGACTTACCTAACTGATACTAAAAGGACATATCTTTTATATGTGTTTAAAAAGTAGTTTAGATGTTGTTGAGTCCTGTTGTCTGGCTGATCTCTGGCAGCCCCTACGCAAACATTCGTTTTAATTGTCCGGGAAAATGTTGTTAGCTCATTTTGTCTGTTTAGGGGCAAATTTTCTGCTTTTATTTTATTTTGTATGTATAAATAACATGATTGTTGGCCTGCAGATATTATAGAGCATTGTATTAGGTGGTCTATGAAGTTTGTGTGAAGTTTGTTGGTCTGTCAATATTGTAAGATATTGTATTAGGTGGTCTACAAAGTTTATATGAAGTTTGTTATACTGCACATATAGACAATGAAACCTGAATCTAACCAGATTTGGTTTTACCCCAAATGCATTTGTTTTAAAATTTTATTTGCTCAAAAATTATACTTTTCACAATTTCATTTAAATGGTTTAAATATTTTTTTTCTTTGTCTTCAACTCTCACAGATTTATATTTCGAATTTACAGTCATTTGATTTGCGGTGCCCTTTTGATCAAAGCCACTCGTTAAAAAGCTGACCAGTGATCACTGTATTTCTTCTGGTGATTGAAGGTTGGTTGTGACTTTTAATGAGCAGTATACATTTTTATGAGATTGTGAACTGATGAGAATCTCAATTTTTCTTTTTCTTTTTCTTTTGGTTTGTTATTGAACATTAAAGTGAAATGTTAGCGTCCGGTTTAAAATTAACTCTGCAAAATTAACCACATAAATTAAATGCGTAGAAGTTCTTTTTTACTAACAATGGCTGTTAATTAATGCGTTTGTCAAAAGCAGTGGTTCCTATGAAATTTTACCAGGAATTAATAAAGATCGTGTTTTCTAAAAAGCTGTAGGCTATGCATTATTCCAAAATCATTGTTTCTGTCCCAGGTCTAAATAAAACTAATAAATGAGTCTAATCTGCATGTTGATATCTAATGGGAGCTTTTTATTTAGAAATAACTTTTTTCCCCAGCTGAAAATCTATACACAAGGCCCCGAACATAGGCTACAGTCTGAGTCCCCGTCTCCCCGAACGTCCCATTTGGCACTTCGGTCTTTCAGATGTTCTTAATTTGTTAATAGATTCCGTATTTTTATTATAACTAACCTAACCCTAACTATAAAGGAGCATATTTTATTATATATAAGCATTACAGGGCTAGTGAGATTTTTTTTCTCTTGTGTGAACATTTCAGTAACCTAAGTGTGAAGCAAACAGGCAAATATTATGTACAGTGCTTGTAAATTTGCAATCGATAGCTACTTTAAGTGATTTCAAAGGCTATGGAATAAAGTCAACTTTAAACTATCAAGTGCTTCTGTGGCAATGACTCCGTTTCTGTCGTCCCAGTCATGGTGCATGGGGCAGGGTAAAGGGTTACAACAAAAATTCGCTGATGCAGAGATTTTGTTCAGATGCAGAGAGTTCAAAGTTAAACAAATGAGGGGGGGGGGGACACACACCCAAAGTACCATGTGTTTGTTGGTGATTATTATATAAGCTTTATGGATACCTGCAATGCTTCTCAAATGCTTACTGATGGTGCATTAGCGACTCACTCCTGATTTGGTAAAGCTTTGTGTGCCAACGCTGTGACGTCATGTCCGCTGGGCTCAGCTCCCATTTGATGAGAGTACGGCACGTCCTTTAGGAGCAAGATAAGGCTGGAGCGCGAGATAGTTATTAAATCTTACAGTAGACGCAAATAAATAAGCTATTGAGACATTGAGAACTATTATTCTTATTGTTTATTTCATTCTTATCAAGATTTCAGGAGGCAGTTAATTACACAATTAATACGTACGTAATACAAATTATTTACACATATAACAAACATTACCTGTAAACACAAAATAAAAATAGCATTGTATTCTCATTTTTTTATTTTCAGCTTTCAACATAGCTTTTATAGATAGATCTTCGCTGATGAGTAAATTCATTAAGTCGTATATCAGATAGAAGGCCATATTCATAGATATGCTCATATGCAATTGGACTAATACTGTTTCTCTGATTCGGCACAGTTCTGTGTTATTAAGTTCGCACTTGAACTTGTAAGGCAAAGTGTGTTAAGTTTGGTGGCTAAATAGTCACACACTCTTTTCATGTATAAAACAAAAAGATTCAAAAAGTAAAAATTCCACAATTTGGTATATGGATACAGTCTTTTACAGTCTTAAATCTCGAGCATACCTTTTTAACTTTTCTAAACACGCGTGAATATGCCCTAATATGACAAGTTGCAGCTTTCATGCAAAGGCCCCAATACCGCTTCATTCACATAAAGAAGTTATTGCAATATAAATAAGCAATTTAAACGCCTTAGAAATCTACTCTCACATAAAAAGCAACACCGGTCATTGGATAAAGTTTTTTTCCCCCTTAATATAGTCTATATAAATACATAACAAATATGAAGTCAACATTAAAACAGTATTTTAACATCTGTCATACAGTAAACAGCTGGTTTGCTTTTTTTTTTTATTCCATAGTTGTGTGTTTATATATATATAGCTGTATATTTATATATTTGTTTATATTTCTGTGATGTGTTGTGGCGCTTACCCTGGCTTTTGTCAAGAGTGCGCATAAGCGAAATCATTGTCAGTGCTACACGTTTATAGGCAGCATTATAATAATTAAAACATACTTTGCTACAAAAGATGATTATATTGCTCTTTTATAAAACTATGTATGCGATTTAAGACGCTGCGGTACATTTGTTTATTTATTTAGCGCACCTATTGAAATGTTTTGCCCAGGCTATGAAGGTTAATCCAATGTTATTTCGTTTATGTTAGGCTATTTCACATGGTAGTTCACCCAGATAACCTACAATGTAATGCACTATTGTTAACGACGTTCTTGCGCGTGTTTTATTTATTTATTTATTTTTCTTCTCCAATTCACTCATTAAAATTAACCAGGCTAAGACTGTGAATTTATTTACAATAAAAGAACAGTGTCTTTCTTTTCTTTTTTTGTTTTGTTTAAAAAATCCTGCTGAGATCCGACGATTGCTGCGTCCATTTTGTATCAAACATCAAATCAAATACGATAAACGTGTAAATAACACAACTCTCATAGTACTCACAGTTGCCTGGATGCAGCAGAAAAGACTCTTTGGACTTAAGCAAGGTTTTCGCTTTTTTTTTTTTCAACAGCTAATAAATGTATATAAACTCCCGTTGTGTTAATCGTGGAAAACGCTTGGTTCGAGTGACAGCATGACAAAGAAGAACGATAAAAACACTTGTTTCTTAAGAGAGCCACTCTGCCCAAGTGCAAAAAACGGCACCTATATAGCCTATTTTTGAAATAGTTTGACCATTAGGCTATTTCATAAGAGAATTGTATTCAATACATCTATTTTTTTTAATAATTCGATATAGCCTCTATTTAACGTCAGTAATGCTGGTATATTTATTAACTGGCCCTTTATTCTTTTGAATTATTGCATTGTAAATATAACCTTGCACCCCCACCCCTTCCCACTTTCTCTGTCTCAGTCATCACTGTCTGATTTGTCTTCTTTTGACGTGGTGCTGTGGTTGTACAGTCCCTGCGCCATCAGGTGCAATGCCAGAGAGTTCTTGGGGCCGGTGGCTTTTTTGATTTTGGCCCGCTTATTCTGAAACCATATTTTGATCTGGGATTCATTGAGTCCCAGCTCCTGCGCCAGACTCTGCCGTCGCTGCTCGGACAGGTAGCGGTTGGTCTGGAACTCGGCCTTGAGTCTCTGAAGCTGCTCCGCCGTGAAGGCCGTGCGTGGTCGTTTGTCCTCTTTATTTGCGTTTTTCTTCTTTGGTTTACGAGATCTAGGACCTGCAAGTGTGGATGAAATAACAGGTCGTTATAAGAACGAAGCCTAATATAATCTGTATTTATGTTCATGCAGGGTCTTGAAGAGAAGGGGGCTGTAAACATATTCAACGCAGAGTTATAATGTATGAATCTGTTTTACGTTGGCTTTTATTTATTTATTTATTTTTGCGTCACATTTGGGTGTGAGCAGTATGGATCTCTCTCTCTCTCTCTCTCTCTCTCTCTCTCTCTCTCTCTCTCTGCGTGTGTATC